GGTCATTCCATCTCTTCATCTCACACTCTGTTACTAAATGTGCCATCTATGGAACTAGACAGTCCTAATTTGAGAACTTTTACAAGGCATCACTGCAATGTTTAATGTAATCTTTCAAAGGTAGAACTAATTTCTTATGACAAAAAATGGTTTTCATAATTTTTCTCAATAAAATGGCATCTGAGATAGCGACCCCTGCTAGAGTTCATGGTTTCTAATGACTTATAGACCTTAAAACATAATATACTTTGTGTCAGGTTAAAGTCACTAGAGCCCCTATTCCAGCAGTTACAACTTAACTCCTTCAATGGATAGGTCCAAATTATTTCTAGAATTTTAAAAATAAACCTTGAAGTTTTCCTTCCAATAAAAAAGAGAGAGAGAGAGAGAATAAGGAAGAATGGACAAATACCCAAGGTTTGTAATTTCTGTGATCTAAATGATCACTGATTTTTGAATACTTCATAAGAAATAAATGTACAATTTAAATATACATACATATATATATTCTCTCTCTCTCTCTCTCTCACACACACACAAAAACACACAGTCCCTAGATTCTTAGAAAATAAATCTAAGAAAGTTAAATTTGATAGTTTGATTTTTTTTGTATTTAGTTTAACATAAGCTGTACCTGATTTATGTTTTTCTCTTAATCCAATTAAGTTATCAGGATGATTTATAGTTAAAATCTAGAAGCACTTCAATTTCTCTTAATATAAAGTGCGTGAATTGTCCTATCACGGTCAAATAATAATGAGTAACTATAAGATGTGTCCCAATAGCAATTTCATCAGCATCGTGAACAAGCTGGTGTGTGACTCAAATTCTAGTAACTCAGTAGTCATGATAATGTAACCTGGTATCTTCTTTGATGTTTCATTCTAAATATCTTATTTTCATTCCAGACATTCCCTGTATGTAGCTAGGAGCTTCTTGGTGAAGTTTTTGTCCTGCCTACAAATACCTGAAACAGTCAGCTCTATTTCCCCTTCTTTCAAACACAAGAGTACTTGTGCAGAAGATAACTCATGCTAGAGGAAAGTGGGATTAGAATGGGAAAAAATCTCTTTAATCTTTAATGGAATGTAACTACCAAATACAGAAAAAAGAAAAAAAAAATTTGCTCAGCTAGAAGTTAAATGCAGATGTTTCTATTTGTAAATGCTGGTTCTTAGTTATTCAATTATGTTTCCTAGGAGAGGGAATTAGGCTCTTAAAACACTCTGTAGCTCTAACAGATTCGGGTGTTTGGTAGGAAGGGTCCATCTTTTATTTATTTATTTATTTATTTATTTATTTATTTATTTATTTATTTATGTTCCTAAAGGGAATGCTATTGACTCCCACCCCATATACAGATTCTCGTTCCAGCCTTTGAAACTAAAATCTTCAGGTTCTAAAAATTTTCCAGAAAAATCTCCATTTATGAAAGAATCCTAGGTGCAAAGCTTGATTAGTCACATTGTTTTAATTATTTTTATATTTGGGTTCGCTGTTAGATTTGGGATGGAGCATGGAAGGGTCCATCTTCGAGGGCTGATGCTGACCCTGGTGAACAGCAAGCAAAGAAATGGACACATGGGCAGATGGCCTTCCCAAAATGACAGAGACTTCTGGGTCCCTGGATGACAGCACATATAACTGAGCACCTGAAAAATCAATGTGCATAAGGTCCACTTAATTGATGAACATTCTCAGTGGGTAAACTTCTGTACCCCTTCAGCTCTCAATAACTTGAAAGTTAAAATCCACTTGGGTACCAGGTGTACCAGAAGGATAGACTTGACCTCAGTCTCTTTTAGGTCTTTTTCATTTCTCGGGTCTGACTTGACTAGAAATTAGTGTGGGAATCCAAAAAGTAATTCCTTAGCCCTGAAACTCACTGATCTTGATTCATGGTTTAAGTTTATCTGATCCATTGTAAAAACTCCAGGAAAACCAAGAAAGATAACTATAGATCAGCCTAGTTGTCACAGCTAGAGTGAAAGCATGTTTCCTTCCTAGAGAAACCAATATTGTCATTCACACTGACTATCCTCTAATGGTCGTATAGATGGTGAAAAATCCACGTATTCAGATCTGAACAAGAAAGGAAGGCCAGCTCTGTTCTGAGCCTTCAGATAGCACTTTATAACTCCTATTACTCATCTTGCTTAGAAAATAATGCAATTTTCTGTTCACAATGCTGTCTTTGTAACTCCAGTGTAAATTCCTTAGAGGGGAAGAAGGCGGCCAGGAGGACATATTCCAATTTATCTTTGTACCCTGCACTTAGTACAATGCAACTTGTGCATGTTGGAAAAAATGTTTGTTGAATTAATAAATGAAATGTGCCCTAGTCTCTTGCTCTCCTGAGAAGACTTATTGTTAAGATCCTTCAGCTCCAACTTGGGGGGGCGGGTAGTGGGAGTGGAGAAGTGACAGAGAAGTGTCAACTGTAACTGAAGAAGAGAAAGGCAGTCTCTGGAATGGTGCTCTAACATCACTCTTGGTGACAAAACACTGATATCAAAAATGCAAAGGGGTTTTGAATAAAATTATTTCATATAACTAAAGTGAAAAGGTTCTATTTCTAAATATTTTTCCAACTTATTGTGTCTGTATTATACATATACATGTAATCAATATGTGTGTGTGCGTGTGTGTGTGTGTGTATAACATCAAACAACTTGAATAGCATAAATAGACCACTGATTCTTTCAATAAAGGTATATATATTCCAAGTTGGGTAAGAAATATAGGGTGGAGGGGGAAACAAGTTCTTCTCTTTGGAAAAAGAGGAGCTGTCTTATATTCAGGCATGCATTTTTACAAAAGTAGACAAATAACAGTGGAGGCTTTGGGGGATGCCAGGGAAGACATGGCATGCAAAACAATTGGGCATGTCGGTATGAAAACAAAACACACACACAAATGGAAAAATCTAAATGTATTAAATAATTAAATTTTTAGTTGAATAAAAATAAGATTTTGACTATCAGGAAAAGGAGAGTAGGGAAGGAGGAACCCAAACTATGGACAAGAATAAAGACACTCTTGCAATATAGATGAGTTTTGCAGATGGCACACTGCGAGACTATTCACAAAGTGGGTTAACTGCTCACACAGTTTTCTGTCCATGATTCTCTCAAATTATTTATAAAGCCTGATAGCTGACTACTGTAAAGACAAGTCTGTACACTTAAGTCTAATGAGAGTTCTGACCATTTCTCATATGAAAAACTATACAAATGAACTCCTCTGTAATAGACAGCTCATAGCCCTCTGGGATTTAGTCGTACAATTTGCCATTCCCAGCACAGCACCCCACTCCCCTAACCAGACACTGCGGTTCATGCCAGATCCAGATCCTGGGAGGGGACCATTATGATAAAGGATTTTCAAGTATATGAAATATGCAACTGGGTAGGGCTGGATGTCATGAGACGATGCCTGTTTTCCCATGGATGTGCTCTTTATCTACCCTAGAAAAACAGTTTGCTGGTGAAGGAGAGGAGGAGGTGGTGACAAGTATGAGCAAGTGGATCTGGGGCTTGAGGGATGTGGTCAGTGCAGAGGGTGGGTGTGGGTCTCAGGAGCAGAAATTACAAAAGCTAATTTGAAACCCAGAAGTGGTGGAGAAAAGACTTGGAAACCAAATGAAATAGCATTTGATCTTTGGCCTTTCTGATCTTAAACTGGGCTGAGCCTCCAGCTGAGTTCACTGAGGCCATTGAACAGCTGTCTGATGATAACTGCTTTCATAGTTGTCAGCAACATTTGGTTAGAGCCAGTGCTGGGGCTGTTCCCACTCTGTGGAGATGGAAAAAGAGTCTATGTTTCCCTTCACTTCTACCTCTGCTTGAGCTATCCTAAATTGGGAAATCATCTGGATTTGTAAAAATAATCACTTCTTGGCATGTTCACAGAGTCTGCTGAAATGTTATTTCGCAAAAGAGAATTTGGATGCCTGGAGGTCACAATAGGAAATGAATCTGGCAATTTGAAAGTGCACCTGCTGAAGTTCCAGGCCATCTCAGTATTCAAATAATTTATCCTTCCTTCCAAATATCTTCTGTGTCTTTTATTAAAAAACAAAAAAAAAGTTCTAATTTATTACACTTAGTATGAACTAGAAAACAGCCCTGCATCTTTAGATGTGGATTCTGGTTTTTCTCTCCAACATTTTTTCACAATTCCACAAATACTCACTTTGAGTCTACCTAAAACACAGCACTGCCAAATAGGTATGCATCAATCAGGACAGCTTAGCTGCAACCCAACTCAAACTGGATTAAGCAACCCAGAAATTTGTCTCAGATGATGAGAAATTCGGCAGTAACTCCAACGTCGACTGATTCAGAGGTTCAGCAAAGTCATCAAGTACCCATGTTCTTTTCATCTTTTTATTAGCTTCCTATCACTGCTGTAACAAATTACCACAGACTTTGTGGCTTCAAACAGCACAACTTATTACTGTCTTACAGCTCTGTAGGTAAGAAGTCTGGCATGGGTCTCACTGAGCTAAAATCAGGGAGCCAGCAGGGTTGCATTCCTTTCTGGAGGCACTAGGTGAGAATTAATTTCATTGCATTTGCCAACTTCTTAAAGGCTGCCCACATTCCTAGGCTCACAGCCCCTTCCATCTTCAAAGCCAACAGTGACTGCTCGAATTGTTCTCACATCACATCATTCTGACAGACTCTCCCGTCTCCTTCCACATTGAAGGTCCCTTATGATTACACAGGACCCATCCAGATAATTCAAAATAATCTCCCCATCTTAAGGCCCATACCGTTGATCAAGTTCGCAAAGGAACAAAGTCACAGGTTCCCGGGACAAGGACCTGGAATCTTGGGAGCTATATTCAGCCTACCACACTCTCTGCTCCATCAGCCTCAGAGAAGGCTCTGCCCTTTGCCCTCAGGCTGGTTCCTGTCACATCAAGACATACATTACTGAGGTAGAAAACTACATGTCATCTCTTTCTTGGGTCTCTTTCTTCCCTACGTCCCTTTAGGGGAAAGCACAGATGCCATCCCAGCTACCACATATTGCGCAGCTAAGTTTCTCCTGTTTGAGGAAATCACAGGGGTCAGCACATCTGGAGTGCAATGGACAAGCCTCGTCCTGGGAAAACCACCTTTGTGATCAAGGTATCACCCCTGCAGGTAAGGACTGGGTCTTGGTAGCAGTAACACTGTGGATGAGCAGTAGCCATGGTATCAGAAAGATGATGGAGCAAGAGTAAAGAAAAAAGATCACTTTGGTTCCTGAGAAAGAAGAAGATCCTCAAAGCCACCCAGCCAGAGCAGTCACTTTTGGAAAAGGAGGAACAGAGGAAAGGGGAAAATAACCTCAGGTGTAAACGACTAGATTGGTTCCTACATGATTCCTGGTAGCAAAGATATGATCACCTGCACCTCGGCAGACTAGACATGAAATTGGAAGTGCCAGGTACACATTCCCTGCCCTTTGTTGTATACTTCCAAAGGTTAATGAGGTGAATTTATTGGTGTAGAGGATCACTGCAAGACTTTGTCTGAAAAAGATTTTCACTGGTATCTTTGTCAAAGTGACCCCTCAAACCAGAAAAATGCTTCCTATAGTGGAATCGTATGTGACCTGGGGATTTCCAAGTCTGAAGTCTATCCGAGAAATCATCTTGAAAGGTGGACAACCCAAGGTCAAGAATAAGACTATCCCTCTGACAGACAACATGTTGACTGAGGAGCACCTGGGGAATTTACTGTCACTTGCTTGGAAGACCTCATTCAAGAAACTGCCTTCCCCGGGAAGTCTTTCGAAGTGACTTCAGGGTTCTTGCGTCCTTTCCAGTTCTCAGTGGCCCCTCATACTACCAAGAATAAGTGGGTTCACCTGGTGAACATTATCAACCATCTCATTCAGCAGCTCAACTAAACCCAGGATATCTGAAAGCACCATGCTTTGGAAGCATGTGTTTGGTTTTTGGAATTGTAATCCATACCTGCAGAGATGACGATTTTCTGCTGCATCTTCAGAAACTGGAGGGAAAGGGTCAGGGAAAAGACAGTGACGTGCACAGCCCAGTTCCAAGGAAACATTCCTGCTTTTTTTCCCCAATGGCCTCTGTTGCCACCTCTGAAATGAGCAAAGCACTCACGCCACAGAAGAGAGTCCTGTTTGCCACATCTTATGTCCTGGGGCTTCATCTTGGTGAATGAAAACCCAACCATGTGAGGCCTCCCTGGTGGCCTAGCGGTTAAGTCTCAGTGCTATCACTGAGACAGCCTGAGTTCAATCCTGGGCCAGGGAGCTAACCCACATATGGTATGGCAGACCGCTCCTATCTTGCCCACTGCTCCCCTGAGCTGTGTATTTGAGTAGATCCACCTGTTCTGTTCCCACTCTGTCTCATTCCCCGCCTCCCTGCACCTCTGGCCTATATCCTAGTTCTTCAACGCAAAAATAAAAAAATTTAAAAAAAAAAGAGAGAACCCAAGCATGTGTACAAGAAGGCAGTGGACCAAGCCCAGGGTACATTTGAACCTGGGGGTTCCTAAGATCTTGTTTTATGTTTTTTGGTTTTTTTTAAAGATTTATTTATTTATATAAGTACAGTCAGAAGCGCGGGCAGGTGAGAGAATTCACCAGAGCCAGAGCGGGGAGTAGAACAGGGAGAATGACCGAAGAACACTGCTGAGGGGAGCAGTGGGGGCGGCAGGAGAGGTCTGTGCTCCATGTGGGACCCTCGCCAGCGGCCAGGGATCGAACCCGCACTGCGGAGGCTGTGGGCAGCTTCGCAACCCAGCCCTCAACCACTGCGCCACCAGGGGAGGCCCCTAAGATCTTGTTTTGAAAAGAACTTAAAATATAAATAGAAGAGTAAGAAAGTAGTTTCAAAAAGAATATGGAACCTCTTTCATAAAAGGGAGAAAAAAATCTTTGCCGGAGGCCCAGAACAAATCATCCTTCATATATAGCAGGCTATTATCAGTCCAATTTTTTGTCACTGAGACTAGGTTCACTGTAATTGGTATAGACTAACCATTTGCAATGGCTGTCAGAGAATTAACCATCATATTCAATATAATGTAGCAAATAACAAAAAAGAAAAATCATTACTATTTATAGACTACTTACATTTATAGACATCTTACATCCAGCACATGTTATATGTGTCATCTCAATCTCACATCAACCCTCTGAGGTAGTAATAAACTAATTTTACGAAGAAAACTAGAGGCTCCATTGGAATTTTATGATGCATTCTAGTTTATAGATACTTCTGTATATAGGATTGTACATGTAGATATACTGGCAATTAAGGACAGGACAGCTGAGTTGAAATCCAATGTCTTCTACCAAAAGAGGACCCTTCAATATCATGACAGTGTTGTCAAAAGGAATCAGGACTCTGAGAAGTCATGGCTTGCTAGAAAACAGGTCAGCAGTCCTACCTTTGAGTATGCTGTCATGCTCTCATTCCTCCAAAGCTGCCAGAAATCCAGTATTCCCAATGCGTGCAATACAAGAATGCCATAGAGGCTGCCTAGAGGACTGCCCTGAAGACGACACTGACATGATGAAATGGAGCTGAAGCTATGCACTAGAGTTTGGTTTGTGTAAGTCTATTAGTCAGGGTCCAAACGGGAGACAGAAATCATCCAGGTATTTTAACAGAGAGAATTGTTACCAAGATATAGTTGTTGATGAGGTAACCGAGAGGGTAAAAACAATTCAAGGCATCATAAAAGGCAGTAAGATAACAAACATGTGGGTATAGTAGTTAAAAAAACATCTTGTCATTAGAGAGATCTGGCTTCAAGTCCATTAGTAGTGTATGACTCTGGGCAAAATCATTAAAATTAGGAGCCTGGAGGTGGGACATGAGACTCAGGGAGGGAGGTCCTACTTAATGGGGTGGGGTGGGGAGTGTCTGGAGGGAACCCAAAGAGGCTGACTCTCCAAGTGTTGGGAAAACTGCAAAATGGACTCATCTGCTGCTTCAGGAAGGAATTGCTGCTGCCAGAGTAAAGAAGCATGGCTTGTGAGATGCAAGCAGACAGGCAACAAACTGGAAGATGGGAGTCCCCTCCTTTTTTGCCCCCCTACTTTGCACCATCCTCCCCGTGCTCCCTATTGGCACAGCTTAACAGGAAACCAGCTGGCAAGGCAGAAATGTGGCTTGCAGAGTGTCAGCTCCACCATCAAAAGAAGAAACAGGAAGAGAGCTTGGAGTGGAGAGATGAAGGCCTCATAAAGGCACAGCTGAGCACTACCATTGCTCACCATGGCAAAGCCTCTTATTTTGTGGTTGAGTAGTGCATCTTTGCACTATGATAAATGATAAAGGGGACACCTGGGCTTCAGGGTCTAAACACACAAACAAACAAACAAAAAAAACCTTTCTCACTTTGGAACTGCTTATTTAGCCTCCGAGACTGCAACTATTTCTTTTCTCTATGACCTCAACACAGTATTCACTATTAATTCTTGGATGTTGCTATCACTGCTATTCCCTTTGGGATCAGGGGGTGGCAATTGAGATGGTCTTTTTTTGTATTATATCTTTTTTTTTAATTACTAAGTTTGCAGTAACTTTTTTTATCATGTGAGGAGGCAGCAAATATGTATGTAGAGTGGTGAAAAACACCATACCTTGTCATTAGACAGATCTGGCTTCAAATCCATTAGTAGTGTATGACTTTGGACAAGTTACCACAACTGCCTCAGACTCACTTTCCCCACCTGTTACACGGGGATAGCAATAGTTCTTACCTTACAGGATTGGAGTGAATAGTATATTAATTTATTACCAACATAAAACTTTAACATGAAAGATAGTTTGCCAACTATCTTTTTTGCTTTTTCTTATGAGCCTACAGCCTAGGAAAGAAAAATGTTGCCCATCTCTGCTCTTGAGAAAACTGCTCTGTAGCTGTTCCACATCATTCCTACTTCCCTGACAGCTCTGATCTCAATGTATTATAATGACTTTTTTTAAGTAACAACCTTTCCAACAAAAATGAAAAGTTCCTTAAAATTAGAACTGCGTCTTTTTCACCACATACACAGCTCTTGGGAAAAAAAAGTTCTCTTCCCTGACAGATCCCAACATGGACCAATCCCAAATACTAGCTGATTCACACACCCCCATGCTGGGAAGGGATGGGGCAACACAGAAAGCTGATGTGGAGAGTAATGATTTCAGAGGGGGTTGTTTATCAGAATCACCTGGATCTTTTCCCAAGGGACATACTCCCTACCTACCACCACCTTTGAGGGCTCCAGGGGGGGTCCATCCCCCTTAGAAAACATGGCTCCTTTGGGAGCTGGAGCTAAAGACAGAGGCCAATAGGAAATAATAAAGAGATAGTCCTATCTTCGCAATAGGAATGGATTCGCAATAAGCCTAAAGGGTAGCTTAGTATCTGGACACAAATTTGTATAGCAAGTGTCCCTGGGAAGGGGATGAGGGAATCAGGAGGGACAAAGACCATGGTGGCTGGTTCCACTAGAGGAGGGACACACTCTTGCCCACTCACATACAGACAGAGGCCAAAGCAGCTGGCCATTACATCAGGAAACTCGGAGACTACAGAGAAAGCAGCAGGGAACCCTGAATGATCTAATGGAGACAACTAATCTAGTAGCTTAACAAAAGCTGAGATCATTTGTGGCTGAACTGAGAACAAAACCTTCTTTTGACCCCGAGTCATTTTTTCCATTTAAAAGATTCCTGTTAGGGAAGAACACATGGAATGATGGAATATACATGGCAACCCCAAGAAATAATCATCTGGGAACAAGGTTCCTTTTAATAAAGTGAGTCTATATAGGAAAGGATTGTTTGAGGACACCTTTCAGAATCTGCTACAACTGGGCATTATTAGAGGAGGAAAAGTCAGAGAACTAGCTAGAGAAATGTATCAGCTAGGGAGCAGGCCACCCTCCCCAGGACCAGCAGATGGGAACTTAATAAAATCTAGGCCACAGCTCCATAAGCTCCGTAAAGTTCAAGGAAGAAATTCTCATTCAGCCAGGGCCCGAATGTTAGAGAAGCTAGACCTCTTCTACAAAGAGGAGAAGAGAGTCTCACAGAGGAGTCATGCAGAATCCCCCATTCCAGAACATAGCCCCAGTGCTTAATTGGCTCAATGGTATAGAGTCTGAGTGGACTCTGCCACTTCATAC